CTATGTATGGAAGTAAAAACTAGGGGCTAGATGCAGGATAATTTGGGTCCAAATTCCTCTCTGAGCCTTAGTTTCTACCTCAAAAATGGAGATATGGTTAGTGCCTACTTCTTAGGATTTATGTGGCACTCATGGAGGAAACGGATATGAAATGCTTATTCTTTTTTATAACTATTATTGCAATTCTCTATGACTAAGTAGAAATCTGACAAAGATTTTGACGTCTACTCACAAGAATAACTTTCTCATATTTACTCATTCATTGCATAAATGTTTATACCATTGGTTTATTAGAATTCTCATAGCAATTCTAGGTTGCATATACATAGAAGATGGTTCATTTATATTTGTTGATTTTAAGGCCTCATCATCCTGGGAGATTTTGTAATGCAAAATGGCTTCAGTATCCTTGCAACAGAGCACATGCTGTTCCATCTGAATAAATGTCTAATCTCAGTCCTCCCCCAACTTCCAGTTAAAACCTATTTTTACCTTTTCTCATATGCATTTACTCCCTCTAGGAAGCCCCCTGTCACTCTAAGGAAGTTCTTTCTCCTCTTTCTCCTCTTTCTCTCTCTCTACATGTCTGTCTGCTCCCATAGCACCATTTACCCATTCCTCATAGAAAGCATCATAGTTCTAATTTTATATTTATTTAAATGTACTTTTCAAATTCCATCTTCCCAATAGGGCTAGGCTAGCTATCAATCTGATGAGGGGCGATCTATGTTTTAACCCAACATTTGTGAGTGTAGAGAATTGTGCCTGTCACAGGGTTAAGTGCTCTGGAAATATATGATGGATGAGTGTGGTTATTTTACAAACACCAGTTACTATTTTACTTCACCAGGCACAATGCTGAGTACTTTACAAATAATGGCTCATATAATGCTTGTAACAACACTAGGTAGGTATTGATTTTAATCTTGTAATTAATTTTAATCCATAAAAAACAGATGAGGAAACATAGACACAGAATAGCTGAATAATCTGCTTAAAGTCATACTGGTGGAAAATGGAAATTGTTGGTGTTGGACTCACGCAGTGGGTCTCTGATGTCTATATTCACTTGTACATGATGTGGCTTCCTGGAAGAAAGTATGGCTCTCATACAGTTTGGTGTCGAGGTCTTCAGGAAACCACTCAAAAGTGGGTGTATGCTGTGTTTCTACTTGAGGGCTCTGAGTTTCCCCATCAGGGTCTGTGGACCTTCATAAAAAGTAATGAAGACACAGGGCTATTTCAGGTTACCTTTTAAACAACACTAAGACACAGCAGCCAGATTGAAATTCCAGGCTGGAGAGGCCAGAGTGATAACAGGACATACGGGTGAGGAACAGCTTTGGAGGTTGCAAAGGAGCCCAGAGCAGCAATGCTCAGGAATATATAGACACCGTGAGCACATCAGGAAAATTCACCAGCAAGTAATATATCATGTTCTATCTTCCCAAGCCATCTCAGGCTATAGGGTGGCAATCCAAAGCTCCTGCCATCCTGAGCCAGGCAGATGAGCAAAAGTCTCATCTACAGAAGCAAAGCAAAGCAAGGATCCTCTCATCTGAACCAAGGCATAAATTTGAGCCTAGAAGGTGACAATACTGGAACTGCCCGAGTCCCACCCACTGAAGATTCGGATTTGTTCAATAATCCTGCTTCTCAAAGTATGGGCAGGAGGCATGAGTATCAGTTGGAGCTTGTTAAAAATGCAGCATCTTTGGGGCGCCTGGGTGGCATAGTCGGTTAAGCGTCCGACTTTCGCTTAGGTCATGATCTCGTGGTTCGTGGGTTCGAGCCCCGCATCGGGCTCTGTGCTGACTGCCAGCTCAGAGCCTGGAGCCTGTTTCAGTCTGTGACCCCCTGTCTCTCTGACCCTCCCCTGCTCACGCTGTCTTTCTCTCTCTCTCTCTCTCCTAGAAATAAATAAAAAATATTTTTAAAAAAATGCAGCATCTTTGGCCCCACCCCAGACCTCCTCAATGAGAATCTGCATCTTGGGAGAGACACAGGAAATTAATATATACATACATTTAGAAGCAAGAGAAGTTCTTAACTTACAGGTGAGGGTAGGCAGCAAGCCCACAGGGAGGAGGAAGAAGAGAAAGAGGAAGCTAAGTACCAGCTATATATGTATGAGTGAGAAGGACGGGAGTTTTGGTTCAGAAAACTTGCCCCTTTTCCATTTTTTGCTGTAGTATGTACAGACAGCCCTCACAGTGTTTGCTTGCTTTCCCAAAGTCTGTTTGTTCTCAATCAGAACAGAGAGAGGTTTTGACAGCTGCTTCCCTTTTCTTCTCTTCTAAATGTTCCACAATCACCTACCTGTGTGGTTAGCCACACACTAGTCCTGCCTTCTTCAATGGGCTTTTTCATATCCAGCAGACACAGGATTCAGAGATAGACATTTTGAAGTGGGAGACATTTTCAACAATGGTGTTTTCTCTAAAGATGTTTTCTTCTGAGCTGGGGCAGGTATGAATCCTTGCTAGAGTTTGAGACATTTTGGTAGTTCCTATTCTGAGGTTAGTTTGGAATTCAGAGCTGTGGCATGTGCCAAAAGGTTTACTTCTGAAGTTTCTACATGTTCTGTTGAAGGCCCTTCTTCCTGAAGTGTGTGTTGTTTTGGTGTTGCACAGAGCTTCAAGGTGCTGTGATAAAGAAGAAGTGTTTTGGCTGTTTGGGTACATAAAAACTACCTCAGATGTTACTGGCTTAAAAAACAGTAACAGTGGTGCAACTAGAGCTGGTCTTGGCTAAGTGGTTCTTCTATTGCAGTCAGCTGGAGGGCTGTGCAGGCCAAAGGAGTTCTGCTGAGCAGGGTGGAGATTGGCTGGGCTTTTTCCACATGATCTGACATCGTCAAATGTCTTTGAGCACAGCATCTGGTTTCCAAGAAAGAGAATTCCACAAAAACAAGCTGCAATGAGTACAGGGTTTCGCAATGTCTGCTTGCACCACACCTGTCAATGTCCCACAGACAGGGACACAGTGCCTAAGAGAGGACCTGTATAGGGGTATGAATCCCCAGAAGCATGTTCCATTCCGGGACCATTGCCACAATCTACCACTGTTAATTAACTTTTTTTTTTTTTTTTCCAGGCCGGCTGGGGTTAGGAGGAGGACAAGGGGCAAAAATAGTGAAAAAAGTGAGAGCTGGTCACCAGTCACCATATATGAGTGTGTATAGGTATATACATGATTGAATGCATACATTTAGTGTTCTTGGAAACATGCAGGACCCCTCTGTTCCCCCCCCAAAGATTCTTTGTTTGGAAATACTAGGTTACTCTACTTAATAGTTGTCTGGAGGCAGGGTTGTGGGAGAACAGCTAGGCAGAAGGAGGACTTCCAGACAGATAGCTTTATCAGTATTGGTGTTCGAATGTGATCACCTATTCTAGCCAGATTACTTTGAAATCCATTAAGAGTGGCTATAAAAGGATGACAACATCCTGAAAAATGGCCTAAGGAATATAAAATATATTTTATTTTCCCTAAAATATTATGTAATCTCTTGTGCTTTATGTTTTATTTTTACATTCTTATGTACTTAGTTCAATTTTTCCGTTTATAGTAGGTTTAATGTATGTCAGGCCATGAATTTGGTGCCAGCCACGTAATGATAAATAAAGTTAACCTGATGTGCTCTTCCCAGGGAGTTTGGAGTCTGGGGCTATTTTTTTTTTTCCTATAAGGCCTTAAAGGGAACACTGAGTAATTTAAATAATGTGAAAACATATCCATTTCCTGCAGTTGTTAACCTTGAACTCTGTAAGTTTCCAATGTCTTCCCACAACCACAAACAAGATGCTGGGAGGGAAGGAGGTAGTGTCGTCTTTATTTTTCCAGGAAGATGAAAGGAAGATCAGGAAAGTGTGGACTTGCTATGTTCCCCTGTCTTAAAGACATTAGTGGAGCTGGTCCTCAGGCCCACCCTGGTATTACTGAATCTTGTCTGACTCTTATAAGGCCTTGTGGCTCCATGGCAACATTTAAGGCTGCACTATTTAAGAGGTAGTGAGAGATTGGGGCGCCTGGGTGGCTTAGTCGGTTAAGCGTCAGACTTTCGCTTAGGTCATGATCTCGCGGTTCGTGGGTTCGCGCTCCGCGTCGGGCTCTGTGCTGACTGCCAGCTCAGAGCCTGGAGCCTGTTTCAGTCTGTGACTCCTTCTCTCTCTGACCCTCCCCTGCTCACGCTGTCTCTCTCTCTCTCCTAGAAATAAATAAAACATTAAAAAAAATTTTTAAGAAAAAGAGGTAGTGAGAGATTCCCTGTAGACATGGCCTCTTGATTTTCTGCTCCTCACACGCATCAGTTCATTCAGTGAACAGCACTGAGCTTTATGTTAGACTCATATTTACTTATGCACTTTCCAGAAACTTTGATTGTGATTAAAACATCAATTACATAATGGGACATTGCTAAATGAATGGAGGGTTTAAAATTATATTCACAGGTCAGTAGATTACATAATCAGAGATGCAGGATGGCTTCATGGTTGACCTTGGGCATGCTTTTATTTCACCTGAACCTACATTTTCTCATCAGCAAAGTGGGAAGGATAGTAGTTTCTGTGTAGGTTGTTGAGATGAATGAAATAATCCAAGAATATAGAAGCACAGAATCCTATCCATATTAAGCTCTGAAATGATCAATTATTATCTTGATGATGATTATGAAGACACTGTGTCCATAGTCTGGCATCACTAGACATGCAAGGCTTATTATCATTATGTCATTGTTAAAGTCTGTAATGCAGATTTCAGTGTGGCAATGTTACTTGTAGGCCACATCTCTGCCTGGCAGATTGAACTAGGGATTTAACCATAGGTGAGCCCTGGAATATTTTTTCTTTCTTTCTCTCTCTCTCTCTCTTTTTTTTGATTGACATAAAAGAGCATCTAGTCTACTAAACCAAAGAAAAACCATCACTTGTATTTTTATTTCCCAATGTTCCAGCAGTGCCCCACAAGCAATGACCTTTTCATTTAACTCTCTTTAGGGTTTGATGCCTATTTTACATCACGCACACTTGAAAACAACAGAAGAAATGTGTGGTTTGCTGAATACTGGGAGGAAAACTTCAACTGCAAATTGACAATTAGTGGGTCAAAGAAAGAAGACACAGATCGCAAATGCACAGGTAATTTCATTCTCATTGTCCTTCTCCTGTTACTCTATGTGGTCAGCATTGAAATGTCTGCATAGCTGATAGAAGGAAGCTTGGCTGGAGACAAATTGAAAAAGTAAATTGAATTTTACTAGATTGTTCAGAAAATGGAACAGGAGCATAAGTCTTGCAGGACAAGAGAAGTGCAGGAAAAAATTTGTATTCTTTTCTGCCTGTCCATCTAGCAGGAATTGACATTTTCATTGATTCTTGGAATTCAAGAGTCATGTTGTTTTGAATGCTCTCAGTGATAAATATTAGTTCATGTTTTAGCCAGGAGTATGAAGTCATTTTCACATAGACAAACTCTGGCAAATCCCTTATCATCACCAGATTTAATGGTTATCATGGACTGTACTATGTATTTGATTAAAGAAACAAAACACTTGGATTTAAAGTAATGAAAATTGCAATGGATTTCTATAACATCCAAGTTAATGAGTCATTTGCTATTTAAAATATGCTTAAAAATATTTAGGGGGGCACCTGGCTGGCTCATTCAGTAAGGCATATGACTTGATATTAGAGTCATGAGTTCAAGCCCCACATTGGGCAGAGTTTACTTAAACAAAAAAGAAAAACAACTTCAACCTTGTAGGTAACTTTGCATAATTATTCCAAATTAAAAAACGTGTGTGGGATGCCTGGGTGGTTCAGTCGGTGCTGTCATCACAGATTCTACTACAGAACCTTTCTCCTCCTTGCTCTGCCCCTCCCCAACTCATGCTTGCTCTTTCTCTCTCTCAAAATAAGTAAACATTAAAAAACTGTGTATGCCATGCATATATTTTTACATACACGAAGTAGTCAGAAAACAAAATTAAACAATTACTCATGCCTTCGCAAATAATTACTGAGCAACCCCTTCTTGTTGATCACAATACTAGGCACCGTGATGTGATGGTAATCAAGCCAGGTGAAGACCCAGTTTTTATGTTGCTCAGAGAATAGTGGGGGAAAGATTGACATTATTCCAGTCATCTCTCCATGAATACATAATTATAAATTGCAATAAGTGTCCTAAGGGCTATGTGGGCATATAACCAAGAAATTTCCCTCATATTGGAGGCAGAAGGTGTCTCAAAAGACCTCGTTGAGGAGTGAGTAGGTATTGGCTAATTAGGAAAAGGGAAGAACAGATAGGAGAATTTCTTATGGGGAATAATATGGCAAAGGGCTTATAGCAGGAGCACTTCTCGTACCTCAGAGGATAGAAAAAACAAATATCTGACAGAAGTACAGTGAATAGGTTGAATTTGTGAGCTGAGGCTGCTTGTGTAGAGATGTGGATAAAGAATAAGCCATGTGGGGACATATGTGGAATTTGGTCATCCCCCTAAGACTACTGGAAACTGGGTGTGGGGGGAATTGGATGGGGGAGTGCAAAGGGTTACAGAAGCATGTGACATGTTCTACTATCTCATCATCTGGCTCTATATAACATAGCAATACCCAATTTCATACTTCATTAGCCTTTATCATTCGTAGTGATGACCTTGAAATACCACAAAACCCTAAAATGTTTCTCTGTATGATCTAGAAAAGCACACTCATGTTGAATACACTACTGTTTAGTTTATCTTTGCAGTGTGAGTCTTTAAATATTGTTCATCCAGATACTGTAGATTGATGCATTCAACAAACACCTATTAATTAGGAATAATGCATGTGAACTATGGTCCTGAAAACATCATAAATGGTGTAAGGATGCTTAAGTTTAGACCTTGTCCTCAAGTTGTTTTCTGAAGGAGAGATAAAATATGAACAGCGATATAAGTAAAAATGATACAAAATCAATATATTGCATGATTAGTTAAATAATTCAGTATATTACAATATCAGATTAACCATTTCCTAGACATTAATGTATAGCAACAGTGTTTTCAGAAGTATCATCCTTAAAATATTGGAGGGAGGAAGGAAAAATTTATTTCAATGTTGACTAGACTTGGATGAAACAAAGCTCTCAAGAGGAAACCTAAAAAAATTAGTTTGACATCTGGATAATTTGTCTATATGACAAGCAACATCCAAGTGTACTGGAAGTATCTAAATGATTGATGACAGTTTTTTGGCTTCTTGTGACATTTTATGTTCTGTGGAGTCTGGAAGGTAGATTGTCTTAGGACCATTAGGGCTGTTCTAAGGCCAGGCTTTATGCTCTTAAGGTTCTAACACTGCTGTTTTGTTTTTTTTTTAATATTTTTTTTATTTATTTCTAGGAGAGAGAGAGAGAGAGACAGCGTGAGCAGGGGAGGGTCAGAGAGAGAGGGAGTCACAGACCGAAACAGGCTCCAGGCTCTGAGCTGGCAGTCAGCACAGAGCCCGATGCGGGGCTCGAACCCACGAACCGCGAGATCATGACCCAAGCGAAAGTCGGACGCTTAACCGACTAAGCCACCCAGGCGCCCCTAACACTGCTGTTTTATCTGTAGTTACATTTTCATACTGATTATCAAGAATTGCAGTTTATAAAAACAAGCTCATTATCCAAATCCTCCTCTTTCAAAAATGGATATAGAAGAGTTTTTCATATCCAATTCCTTCCATGTGAAATATCTACGGTCACATTTATTAAATTACCTGTGACCGCAAATTATTTAAATAATATCTTTGTTCTCTTTCTTTCCTTACCACTTTCACAGTTGTTAGATTTGCCATATTGAATGTCGACAAATACTATTACCATCATTGTGTCTCTTATTCCTGTTACTGGATATGAATACATGGATGACCTTGTGTTTCTTCTGGTACAGCCTTTTCCTAAATGCAACTAAACCTATATTTTTCTTTGGAAGTATCCACAAAAACTATTTAAAAAATTGTGACCTTTAGGAACAGTTTAACCTTGAACAATTTGGATTGGAACTGCTCGGGTCCACTTAAACAGGTTGTTTTTCTATAAAGACAGTACTGTAGATTTTTTTTTCTCTAATGAGATTCTAAATAACATTTTATGTAGCTTACTTTATTAGAACATAGTATATAATAACTATAACATACAAAATGTGTGTTAATTGACTATGTTATTGGTAAAGCCTTTCAACAGTAGGCTACTAGTAAAGTTTCAGGGGAATCAAAAGTTATAGGTAGAGTTTTGGCTTTGCAAAGAATTCCCCTAACCCCACACATTGTTCAAGATTCAACTGTATGCTTCAACTTGGAAATGGAATAATGGAAGGAAAAGTGTGCTGAGATTAACTAGACTACAAGGAAGGAAGAGATGGAGAGAAGTAATAGATGGGATTGGATTAGTAAGAGTTCTTGAAACCATGGTGTGAAATGAAGCTTTAATGATGGAAAAGAATGGATGGGAGAGGCAAGTGTTGATGGGCTTAAGAATGTGGATGATGAAAGGGAAAGCTGCTTTGTTAACCAGGTTTTGAAACATTAAAAGAAAGCACACATTGGAAAGAAATATCCAGACGAAGAAGCAGGCTGAGTAGTGGGGCATTGCAGACACGAGTCTGGCTCCAGGAAGCATAGATAGTGGATGTTCTGATGACTGCAGAAAACAGCCCACCTCACAGATATTTCTCTATGTCTGGGCTCTGCTAATGAATAAGAATGTCTTGGGGACTCTGAGTGGCTCAGTTGAGCATCTGACTTTGGTTCAAGTCATGATCTTGCAGTTCGTAGGTTCCAGCCCCATGTTGGACTCTGTCCTGACAGCTAGCTCAGAGACTGGAGCCTGCTTCAAATTCTGTGTCTCCTTCTCTCTCTGGCCCTCCCTCCTCTTGCTCTGTCTCTGTCAAAAATGAGTAAATATTAAAATAGAGAGGGCAAGATGGCAGAGAAGTAAGGAGCTCCGTCCTTGCACTCGCGCTCATACCTCACACGGAAAAGATCTGAAGCCATTGGAAACTTTATGAAACCTGAGAGATTGGGAGAAAAAGGATGCAGAATCCACTGAGTAAGCCTTCTAATGCGAGTGCGAACTGGGGAAGATAAAATCAGGCCGGGATCAGAGACTCCAGGATTGGAGGCGATCCCCCTCTGCGGGGAGTGAGAGGGGGAAAAAGAGAGAGTCCAAAACAGAAAAACCTCCACTAGGGGAAAAACCTCCACTCGGGGCATAGAAAGACCCTGCGCATGCGCGCCAAATACCTGCACACCAGGTCCCCTCGCTACAACTGGTCCCGGAGGGGCTGAACGCACAGACTGCTCCTTTGTACTTGCTCTTGGCTGGCTGGACTTCTAGAGTAGCGGCGGGCCTGGCGCCATTGTCCTCCTGGCTGGCTGGGCCCCTGGAAGAACCGCGCATGGACACCGGGCATCCAGCGCTCCTGGCTGGCTGAAACTCTAGAGGGAAGGCAAAGAGCTAAAAACTGGGAGATTTGCCTGCGAGTTCGTGTTTTGGGTGATGAGACATAGAGGGATCTGGTTTTCCTCACTCCAGTGGGCTCCACACACCCAGCAGGCAAGCCCCCTCCCATGCTTGCCAGCCCTACCCAGAGAAGGAAGCAGCAATTCTGACTCCACCCCCAGAAGGCTACCTCAAGAAACAAGCCAGAGTACACAAGGTGGAGAGTCCCAAAAGTCACTATGAATAGGAAAATAAAATAACCAAAGTCCCAACAAGAGAGACCAAGAGATACCATTCAAAAAACACTCTCTGAAAGGGTAGGCCCTGGACAGTCAAAGAGTCTTCTTGGGTACAGAGCGCTCATAGGTGCAGAGAGCATAACAGGTCTTTAAATTAACAAGTGCCAGAAAGGTAACTAAAATGACAAAACGAAAGAGCTCTCCTCCAAAGAAACTATAAGAAATGACAGCTAATGAACTGCTCAAAACAGATATAAGCAGCATAACTGAACAAGATTTTAGAATAATAATGGTAAAATTAATAGCTGGGCTTGAAAAAAGCATAGACGACATCAAAGAAACTATGGCTAAGGACAGAACGGAAAATAAAAATAGGCATGAAGAATTAAAAAATGCGATAAATGAGATACATAATATATTAGAGACCT